TTTGCGTGAACATTTGGGCGGCATTATGCAAATCTTCCCACATCGTGACGTAGACATTTGGGGGGCGTGTTAGAACGAGCCGTTTTAGATAGGCGTGGTTGACTCTTACCTTTTATAAAGAATATCTCTTTGGATTTGAGACTTTAGTCTTTGCAACTTTACAGACCTTCTTTATGCACCAAGAGCTTGTAACACTCCAAAGAGAAAGGAAAAATTTAAAATCGCATCATATGACCCCTTTAAGACTTAAAGAGATGAATTGTATGAAGAAAAAAAAAAAATTCCGGATAAAAAAAAAATTCGGACTTTTGTAATTCATTTATTTTTCTTTTTTTTCTAAAGATCTTCCTCTACGACTGCACCGAAGTGTCTCCATTTTCATTGTTGTTTTTTGGAGGAGATATTTCCATCCAGAGGGACCATGACCAAGAGACAATCGCTGTGGACGAGTGGATCGTGTTTCAGTCCCCGGCACGCATTGCTCACCTTGTCAAGATGAGCGTTAACTTGGCATGTTTGTTTAAAATTTACTATTATATGCCGCAGAGCACTCAATGATGGGTTGCAGTTATACTTCGAGTTTATTCTTTTTAATTTAGGACCTGAGGAAGGAGCTGGACGTGTTACTGGAGGAGAAGATAAAAAGTCCACATCCTGTGGTCTGGAATGACTGGGGGTCTAAAGATTGTGCTGTTCTCTCCGCTATAATCGACCTCATCACAACAGAGGAAACCCCTGCTGGAGGCCCCAGGAGAGGCAGCCAGTGAGCACCAACCAATAGGAGCTTATTTATTTGAATGACATTCAACTGTGACATACAGAAAAGTGATCTGCTGTCACTGCTGTGTGAACACAATGATACTCTTTCTCTGTACTTGTGGGTTTCAGTAAATACCTACATCATTATAAATAAGAAACAGATTTTTTTAATTTTAGTATTGGCTTGAGTTATTGTAAGCTTTTATTTACAGTAATTTATCAAATTTGCCCTGATGTAATTAGGGATGCAATGATTATAGATTTTGTTGGTACGATTATTGTCTGAGGAATAATCACGATTTCACGATTATGCATTTATTCATTTCATTTTCATCATTATTATTTTGGTTTGTGAGATCGGAGATCGTGCTGCGCACACATGCAAACATTCAGGAGGACACAAATTTGTTGTGAACCCTGCCCCTTGACTTTTATTAAAGGGGTCATATGATGTGATTTAGAGTGCTAAGGGAATTATACAAATGAATATATTAATTAATTAATTATATGAATGTACCTCTGAAGGTTCTTACGGTCTTCAGAAACGATTCGATTCCTTTTTAAAGCTTTATTTGAACATTTACATTAGATATTTCAACATGCTATTAAACTGTTGTCAGTCAAGTTGTCATTTAAAATCCGAAAGCCTTAAAAGCCTTTACGATTAATTAACCGTGACATTTTAAAGCGCGGTTAATTGTGAAACCGGTTAATCGCTGCATCCCTAGATGAAATCATTTGTCTATGGAGGACTTCCATTCTTAATCTTGCTATATACGCACACACCATCTGCACTGTGATTGGCTGGATTAGTTCCACCTTGTCATTGTGTCGCTCACATTACGAGATCACGTGGTGATAGATTAAGGGACATATAGTAAAAGTTTAAGCAATGAAATATCTTTTAATGTACATATATAATCTCAAATATAAATTGATATGCTGATTATAAAAGTTTACAAATTGCAGCTATCTAATACATATTTATATTTGGCATAATTCATGTTTACATTTTCCCTGAGTAAATTCAAAGAGTGAACAACGCAATTGAGCATCTCTGGTGCTATAAAACTTTCCTTCACTTTACACAGGGACTCCAATTCCACAAAATGTAATGTTTCATAATGAGCCCTGAGCTCACATAAAAGCTATTGGATAAAACATATGGTGTATTTGTCCTTTGTATCAAGCTACTAAAGTTCCTGCTCTGTAGTGGTTAGATTCATCCAGTCTTCATGTGCTGTACATTCCTCAGGAGGCAGAGCTCCAGACATTGGCCTCAGACATTAATTTCTAGGCCTTGCAGACGGTTTATCCTCTGCATGTTTTTCTCGATGGTTGCCTGACAGGTGATAAGTTTTCGGCGCACTCAGCCAGGAATCAGTCCCTCTCTCCATCCCGCAGGCGCTCGCCTTCATACCAGCCTAAAACCACATCCATACATCAATTCACCTTCTTATGTACACAAACCGGTCACTGATCATGATCAAAGCAAAAACATCAACTACAACGAAACACAATCTGCTGTCAGAGCGATGACTTAGTGGTCACTAATGGCGCTTTTCCACTGCATGGTACGGCATGGTACGGTTCACTTTTGGGGGGTTTTCCACTGGGTACAGTCAGGGGCGTCGCTTTTTTTTTTTTTACTTGAAGTTATTAACACTACAAATAGCCTATGTGTTGGCAGAAATGTATTTATTATAAATGTTACGTTATTACATATTGGGAAATATTTTAATAGAAGGTTTTTTTGTAGTTTCTTCATGTTTAGTTTTTTTTTACTACAAATGTTATTGTTTATTATTACTTATTATTTTAAAAACCATATAACCATGGTAATGAGGACCATGGTTTTACTTCTTGTGACCCCCATCCTACTAATAGTCAGCTAAACTCTGGATTCTAAGCAAGAACTTCTTTCTTTTTAAATGTTCTAATGAATTTTAACGTTCGCGTTTTAACCGCCACCTATCGCTCAAATGGACCATTGACACTCTATCTACAATCTCAATTAGGAGTGTCAATGGTCCATTTGAGAGATAGGTGGCGGTAATGCACTTATAAGTCTGCGATCTGCTGTAAAGCAAGAAGAAGAAGACATGTCACGCGCCGGCTGAAGAAGAAGACGCGAACGTGATCAGGACAGTGCGGACATTGCAGTGAATCAGAGGTAAAAAACGATATAAATACTGTTCAGTATTAATGTTACGTTCTGTGCCGAGGCTTCGGAGCGTGTGTCGAGAAATCCCGGCAGCTTTCAGTGAAGCCCGTATTGAGGATTGTATTGCTTTAGAGCAATGACGTAATTGATGACGTCCGAAGCCTCGCTTGGCCAGACTGGTTCAGGAAGAAGAAGAAGACGCCTCACGCGCAGGCTGAAGAAGACGCGAACGCGCTCAGGACAGTTCAGACATTGCGGTGAATCAGAGGT